ACATCAAAAGAAGATGGATAGAATACACAGAGTCACTATACCAAAAAGAATTGGTAGATGATCATCCATTTCAGGAGGTGGCATATGATCAAGAACCAATGCTATTGAAAGAAGAAGTCAAAGCTGCACTGAAGGAATTGGCAAAAAGAAAAAACAAGGCTCTGGGAATTGATGGAATACACACTAAGATGTTTCAACACATGGATGCCACACTGCAGGCACTCATTTGGCTATCCCAAGAAATTTGGAAGACAGGTATCTGGCCAGTTGACTGGAAGAGATCCATATTTTTACCCATTCCAAAGAAAGGTGAACCCACAGAATGTGAAAATTATTAAACAATATCAGAAATATCACACGCAAGTAAAATCTTACTGAAGATAATTTGAAGAGGACATGGGACAAGGGATATCATTGCTGATATTTCGGGTGTTGGAGCACCTGGGGGTGGCACCAGTAAGCATCGGTACCAGCATTTTGAAGATAATTCAAAAACGGTTATAGCTGTATATTGACAGAGAACTTCCAGAAATGCAAGCTGGATTCAGAAGGGGACGTGGAGTGAGGGACATCATAGCTGATGTCAGATGGATCTTGGCTGAAAGCAAAGAATACCAGAAAGATGTTTGTTGTTGTTGTTGTTAGGTGCCATTGAGTCATTTCAGACTCATAGTGAACCCATGAACAGCAGAACGAAACACTGCCCAATCCCGTGCCAGCTTCATGATTCCTGCTATACTTGAGCCCATCATTGCAGCCACCATGTCAATCCACCCATGGTACTTTCAGCATTCTTTGCCAGCACCACAACTCAAAAGCATCAACTCTTCTTCAATGTTCCTTATTCATTGTCAGGGTTGTATCTTTTCACCATACATATTCGATCTGTATGCTAAGCAAATAATCCAGAAAGGGGGACTATATGAAGAAGAACATGGCATCAGGATTGGGGAAGGCTCCTTAACAACCTGAGGTATGCTGATGATACAACTTTGCTTGCTGAAAGTGAGGATGACTTGAAGCACTTACTGATGAAGATTGAAAACTACATCTGCAGTATGGATTACACCTCAATATAAAGAAAACAAAAATCCTCACAACTGGGCCAATAAGCAGCATCATGATAGGTAGAGAAAAGATTGAAGTTGTCAAAAGACTTCATATTACTTGGTTCTACAATCAATGCCAATGAAAGCACCAGTCAAAATATCAAGACATATTGCATTGGGCAAATCTGTTGCAGAAGACCTCTTTCAAGTGCTGAAGAGCAAAGATATCTCCTTGAAGTCTAACATGCACCTAACCTAAGCCATGGTATTTTCAGTTGCTTCATACTCATGTGAGAACTGGACAATGAATAAGGAAGACCAAAGAAGAGTTGATGTTTTTGAGTTGTGGTGTTGGCGAAGAATGCTGAAAGTACACTGCTAAAAGAACAAATCTGTCCTGGAAGAAGTCCAGCTGGAATGCTCCTTGGAAGCAAGAATGGCTAGACTTCATCCCACCTACTTTGGTTGTTATCAAAAGGGACCATTCTCTGGAGAAGGATATCAAGCTTGGTAAAGTGGAGGGTCAAGGAAAAAGGGGAAGGCCCTTAACAAGATGGATTAACACAGGTTGCAGTGATGGGCTCAGGTGTAGTAAGGATCAGGAGGCTGGCACAGGCCTGGGCAGTGTTGTGTTCTGTTGTACATAAGGTCGCTGTGAGTCAGAGATGACTTGACAGCACCTAACAACAAAAACAACAATTTCTAAGATTAACCATGTTAAATTTGTATTAGGACTTTAGAATAACTATAGTCTCTTATTAATTCTGGCTCAACATTGGGGATGTATACCCATAAAGTATCTTCTAATATATTGTTGGAGGAGAAAGATGTGGGATTCTGCTTCCATAAGGATTTACAGCCTTGGAAACCCTATGGGGCAGTTCTGCTCTGTCCTGTAGGGTCACTATGAGTCAGAATCTTCCTCATATCTACTCTTCATGGTTCAGGTAAGTTCCTGCTCCTGAAAGTTTCCTTTATACATTCTTTCTCCCCTATTTAAAACAAGATAGGTTACTAATCATTTTCCTTTATACTGGACTGCTAGCTCTTAATTCACTTTTGTAGTAAAAGGTTTTGTGTCCTTTTAAAGGTAAATTGGGTGTCAGCAAGCAGATGGGATTGTGCTGACTACTTGGTAGCACTAAAACCAGCCCCACATTTAACTGGGGATGGAATTTGTGCCAAGAGCCTTTTGTGTGTGGGGTAGAAATTATCTATAGCCTCCTAAAAGACACAGTTTAGGCCTGAGCCTTCTTTGCACCAACTCTTTCCTCTATCCTGACCTTTTCCATAAATACAAAAACTTCTAGAATGCAGCAAATAGATTTACTCTTAACTGATAATGTTATTGAAGTAACCCAGATTACCAGAGTAAAATGAAGTTAATTTTTTGGAAGCATTTAAAATAATTAACTTTTTTCTATTACTTATTAGAAACTGTTATAATATGCAGATTTACATTGTTATTATGTGCCTTGGAGTCATACCCAACTCATAGTGACCCTGCCTTGGATTTCCAAGGTGTTATCACTGTAGAAGTAGTGACCAAGAAGTGACCGGTGAGTTTGAACCACCAGCCTTCTGGTTAGCAGTCAAGTGCCTTAGGCACTATGTACGTCACCAGAGATCCCAGATTTACATTAGATTTTTTTTTTTTTTAATTCTTAGGTTAATTCCAAAATGGAGAAATAAGCCATCACTAAAATTCACTGCAGATTAATATTCTTTCATAAAAACAATTTAGAAACATTTTGAAGTTTATAAAAAACTTATCTACTAACACTGATATTTCATATACAATGGAAGCTTTTTACTATTTACCAAGATGAAAATATTACAGTAATTTCTCCCTAAAAAAGCTAGCTGGGGTCTAGAACCCTTCAAGATTGATAATTCTATTTCTAAATGGGGCATTTTATGTAAAATTTAAAAAGGAAAGTTATATTTGATGGTAAATTTTTAAGTTCATATCACTTTAGGTATCAGAGTTTATTTCAAGAACTTATCTATGTCTACCATATGCCTTCATTACTATTAAACATTTTCCATGGATCTAAAACCAAAACCATAGATTTGTGAATGTAATTAAAGTAAAAAAAAGTACATATGTTTGGGTAGCTTTTAAAAACTGTAATACAACAGTATTAGTAACTATCTTTATTCTGATTCTCAGATAAAGGCATTTAACATATACTTTATAAACAAATTAATTACTATGCATTCTGCTTATAAAGTGACTTAAAAGTATTTCAAACATTATATAATTCAATTTGTACAAAAAGTAAATTTCCAAGTAAAGCTTTGGCTAGTAGAGGACTGATTATGTACTGTCAAATCCATTTTCCAAAGTTGTTTAAGAAAAAAAAAATTATCCACTAACACAGATATTTCTTACACAAAGCTTTTTACTATTTACTAAGAGGAAAAATTAACAATTGCTTTTAATTTCAAGTCTGGGTCAGCTTTTTTTTTTCCCCCTTTTCATTTACATACGACTACAGGATAAAATCTCCAGGACAGATCCTAAGGCCGTTAGCTTCCATCACTGCCAATATGCTTCCTAAATATTACACTACCAAAGAGAGCCATTTCAAGCATTAATATATTCCAATGGGGATAAGTCACTTCTAATTTCCCTCAGGAGGACAGTTTCTCCTTGCACTATTGCACAGAATCAAAGCTTATATAGTATCTAAAGAAATTAAATATAGTCCCAAACTCAATTTTTTATAGACTCTACAATCCATGGATCACCTTTATTCATCTGAACGTAATACAAAATGCTACCTAGCTTACATAATGTAACAGTTTAACCAAATTAATCACAGAACTCCAGACATTCTTCTATTAAAGGTTTCCAGTCCACTGAGCAATACTTGCTCAAAAATATTATTATGGATTTAAATATCTTCTTTTAAATATACTGTTTATATGGAACTATGCATTGGTGCTCTTTTTATGATTTTTTAAAATTCTTACTTATATAATTCCAAAATGGAGAAATGAACCATCATTGAAATTGACTGGATACTAACATTCTTTCATAGAAACAATTTATAAACATTTTAAAGTTCTGCCTTTATTTCAATTTGGCTTTTTCAAATAAACTTTTCATTTTGATTATTGTGTAATAACTTCAAAACATAGTTTAAACAGATAAAATCAAGAAGTGATAAAGCATTCCTTATATAACATACAAATGCCTCAAGTGCCACATATGTAGTGGTAATACAGCAGAGAAAAGAATATATATGGTTTAGAAGATTATACAGCAAACATAAAGATTTACACAAAGCTAAACTCCCCTCCTATTGTGTTTATTTTAATTTGATCTTGGCTCTGTACATCATCTTCATATAATAACCACTGTGTTATCAGTTTTTTTAGTTTTTCAATTATTTATATATATCTTTTTCCTTAAACAGCTTTGTAACATTTAAGAACATTCAGCCAATCTTTTTCATTAGCTACAATGTATCTTACATTTTTCTCACAAAATGCTCACTTTCCTGAGCTATATTTAACACCTTATAACAGGTGTATGTATATCTGAAGACCCTAAAATGTCTAGTTAACATTTTTAAAAAATGCATAGAGAACATACCATTTTGGAAAACCTATTTATACTCACTTCTTGGATGTTTTAATATATAGGTTTTGTTTCCTTCAGACCTTAAAATGCTTAATTACTTTCACACCTAAACAACTTTTTTTTTTTTTTTTTTAAATATTCTGAGATTTGATTGCTATTAGGCTAAAGAAAACACATGGATTTTTCTGACTAAAACTGGTGAGTCTTCCAATAAACATCCATATACACTCATTTCAAATAACAAATTTCTGTGACGCAAAATAGTAAAATTAAATCAGAACTACAGCAAATAAATTTTTATTACAATACAGTATGCTTAGTTAAGGGTGCTATTCATCATGCCTTCTATCATGTGGTCTTTACCAGGTGGGCATCATATCTGGAAACCACACCCTACCAAGATGCTTGGACACTTCCCAGTGAATCTGCTCCAAACTGTACTTTTGGTCAGGAATTAGTACTTCTTCCATGATAGATAACTGAGACAGGCGGCCACCACACATCTTCACAAATTCAACAAAGGCACTGCATGAGACTTCACATTCCCCTAGTCCAATAGCTGACAAATTTTTGCAACGTTCTGCAATGCGAATTAACTCTTCATCAAGTGGCCGTAATCCATTAGCACATACTACTAGTTCAACTAGTCTTGGACAAGTCATTCCCACACGGCCAAGTACATCTTTGCTCACTGATCTCCCAAAGTAAAGATGAGTGGCAGGTATTTCATAACGAAAGAATGGGTCAAATTCCTCTTCATATAGAAAAAAATACATCACTAAGTTCACTTTAGGTGAATGTCTGATGAAAGCATCCCAGCTGCTCTTCTGAATAGTATGGAAGTGTGTCTGTCCAGGATTCTCACTGACTACATCAATGCGCAGATGTTCTAGTCGAACATGTTTTTCAGAAGACAAAGCAAGTAACAACTCATCACTTAATAAGTGGTAGTTCAAGGCCAGTTCACGTAAGCCATGACACTGATCAGCCACACAAAGAATACCTTGGAAAGAAAAAAAAACAATAAATTTTTGTAAAAGCTCATGATTTATTCAAGACAGTAAAATATAAGTCCTATAATAAAATTTTACGATATTTTCTTTGCCACAATGTTATATAAATTAAAATTTAGTTGCAAGGTTGGATTAACAGAAGGTAAATCAGGCACTTAAAATGTATTACTAGTTCTGGTAAGAAATCAATTCTAAATCAATACCCTAAAAACAAAAATTACTTATCAACTCAGAAAAATTATAAGTTACTAATAACTACGTCTAACAGCCACAGCTAAGGTTTATCCTAGTAATAGAAGAATAGTGCCATATCTTTAAAAAGCTGATTCATCACACTAAAATTACAGGTTAAGCAAGAAAAATTACATGATCACCAACAGTGGTAAAAGGACATTTCTTGAAATCCAAATCTAATCCTAATGAAAAGAAACAGGATAAGGCATAACCACATAAAAGATTTATGTAACTATATAAAACATTTGTAAAATGAAAAGAACAAAATTAAAAGATTTTCAGCAAATGAGCAACAGATTTTTAATTGCTAACAGTATATAATACTGAGATTATCAAATCTCTACAAAGTTATTAAGATGCCACTAGGTGAATGAGTCAAAGACAACCACCCAATTTACACTAATGGGAATAACACACATTTGAAGCTCTACCTCACCTAGAGAGCAGTTCCTTAAATGGTTCCCTATACTTAGGGTACCATGCTTCATAACTGCATGATACTTAGCAGTATCTGTTTTTACCAAAGGTCACGATCTGATTTCTGAAGAGGCCTAGTATGAGTACCCAAAAGGTACAAATATTTAAATAAAACAGTATAAGTATTTAAAAAAAAGAGTAAGTAATATAGGTGACCTAATATAAGTGCCCCAAAAGACACCCTTTACTACCCACTCAGTGACCCACTCAATCTCTTGTGGTGTTTAAAAAGCTGAGACAGGAACAACAAAGAACACATCATACTATCATCTACTATTTATTGTGCTGTTGTTGTTGTTGTTGTTGTTACGTGCCATCGAGTCGGCTCCAACTCACAGCGACCCCTCCTCGGGTTTCCAAGGCAGTATCACTACAGAAGTAGGACTGCCCAACCTTCCTTCCGAGGAGTGGCTGGTGGGTTTGAACCGCCAGCCTTCTGGTTAGCAGTCAAGTGCCTTAGGCACTATGCTACCAAAGCTCCTATTTATTGTGTAAGGAGCCCTAAAGAAGCTCTGGTGACATAGTGCCTAAGGCATCTGACTGCTAACAGAAGGTTGGTGGTTCAAATCCACCAGCTACTCTGCAGAAGGAAGACCGGACAATCTACTTCTGTAAAGATTTACCACCTTAAAAACCCAATGGGGGTCGCTATGAGTCAGAATCAACTCGATGGCAATGAGTTTGGTTTTTGTTTGGTTTAGTGGTGCAATAGTTAAGCACTTGACTGCTATCCGAAAAGTTGGTAGCTGGAATTCACCAGTAGCTCTGCAGGATAAAAGGCCTGATGATCTGCTCCTACAAAGACTACAGCCTAGAACACGCTATGGGAATGTCTATTTTGTCATAAAGGGTCACTATGATTTAGAATAGACTCACCACTACACCGTATTATTTATTAATACAATTATGATAGGCCAGATACTAGATATGTTATTCCCACAAATACTCAGAATTTTAGAAAAGTAGCTATTATTTCTATTTTGAAGTTGAGACAGTTAGCTAAAGGTAGCAAAGCTAGAATTTGTATGTAGCCTACGTGATTCTTAAATTCATGCAATTAACTATTAAGAACATGTGACAACACAGAAGTCTCCAATAGGCCAAACCTCTATAGCAGCTGAGGGAGGATAAGCAATACAATCAGAGAAGAGATAAACTGAATCACAAGTACAACAGAGCTACCTGCAGTGGGCACCTATGCTTCCCTATTCAGCCAATGTAAAGTTCCTGTTCACCACAAGGCATGTGTGTACTTAAAAATAAACCCTCATAACCCACAGTAACCTAGGCACATCTCTGGTCTTTACAATCTCAAAAAGCCTTATAAAAAGGAAACAAACACATGAGAAATGATAATCAAAGATCCAAATGAAAGCAACTTGGAGATACCATTTAATAATTACCAAAGTAGTTGTAGGTAAAGTTCTGAAAAATGACCCCTGAGATTCCTTGCTCTAATCTCTGGAACCTGTGAATATTCTAAGACTCTAATGTTCATGTTATGTTATATGGCACAGTTGGCCTTAAGACAAGGAGATTATCAGGGCAGACCTAATGAGTCTTAAGAGCCCCTTTAAAAGTAGTGTTCTCTGGCTAGTTGCAGAAGAAGTACCAGAGATTCAAAGAACAAGAGGGATTCAACATGCCATTGCTGGCTTGAAGATGAAGGGAGCCACATAAGGAATGTAGGCAGGCATCTTCTATGTAATTCAAGGAATTAAATCTGGTCAACAACCTGAACGAAACTGGAAATGGAATATTCCCTAGAACTTCCAGATGAGAGCTCACCTTGACTGACATCTTGGTTTTTACCTTTTAAGGCCCTAAGCAGAGAAGCCAGCTAAGCTATGCCTATTGATCTAGAATTCTGATCTGTAGAACCGTGGAGATAATAAATGAGTGTAAGGTGCTGTTTGTGCAGCAATACAAAGATAATACATAGTTAAAAATGTTTTAAATAGAGGCGGGGCAAGATGGCGGACTAGGCAGAAGGATTGCACAGACCCTCTTCAACAAAGAAAAGGGAAACCAATTAA